CCCCGGCGGGGAAAGGGCGAGCACGCACCTGTGCTTCAGGCGGTGCCTGTAGTTCCCGAAAGTTTCCGGGAGGCAGGGGGAGATAGGGCGGCTCCTGGGCGACGGGACCTCTCGGCTTTGTCTCTCGAAGGAAAACCGGGGAGAGGGTGGGGGAGCCAGCGCTACTGTTTCCACGGTGGGGCAGGTTCAGGGGCACCGCATGCAGAGTCAGTGCAAATCCAGTGCGTATATATAACGCCGCTGGACTCTGTACAAACTTGGCATAGACAGTAAGCTGCGTGTGCTAATAACACTTCGATCGAGTTGATTTGTATCCTCGCTGTCTCTCTCAGCCGTGGACCCTTCGTGCCCACAGCCCATTTCAGGGGTGCTCTGCAGAAACGATCTGAAATAGGTAGGACGCTCAAAGGGGGAAACCCACCTCGCTGCTCTCGCAGCCAGCAGGGCATTCCCCCTTCAGTTTCCCCAGGGCAGCTGTTGCCCCCCTCTCCACAGGCATTACCTACTATGTCAGTGAACTTCCTAGCGGTTCCCTTTCCCCTCTGAATTAATCCAGAAAAACATCCCTCTGCAGCAAGCATCTTTGGAAACGTGCTGCTGCACTCTCCCCCCTCCCCCGACTAGCTATTTATAGCCCTGCAGGGCTTTCTCCGGCTCCGTGGCCTGATGGGCCGCACTGGCAGGGGGAGGAGGATGAGGAGATGCGCCTATGGGAAACGCTGGGGCTGGGAGTCGGGGTTTGCTGCTTAAGGCTCCGTTATGTGGTGTCTCTGAACCACTGGGAAAGAGAAATTGAAAAATGTTTGTGTCCTCCCTCGTACTGCATTGATTATGTCTGCCCTCAGGGGAAGCACACGGGTTCTGGGGTCTAGATTGGTGTTAAACAACAATTTAATGCATAATTGAAGTACTTAGTACATTACTTCTGCTGAATCCTGGTATTATTCTCCATGGCTCTGTAAGGCTGTGTTGTGATGCTAGGATGCACACAGTTGGCATGGGCATAAACACTGCCATAAACAGAATTATACACCTTTGTGCTCAGAACCGTGATTTCCTTCTTCCTCCTTATGTGCTCGCACAGACACACACACCCCGGCGTGAGATACATGCACATAATGGAGATACACAGGGACAATCAAAAGAGTGGGGTTACTGAGACAAACAGGATTATTCATGGCTTCACGCTGCTGAGCTGGTGGACAAAATAAATTGTATATTTTGAAGGGGAAAAGAGAGATAAGCTGAGCTTTATGATTTACCCAGATAATCTGATGGTCTATTTTTAAATGCGTGATTTAGTTTCCATGAGAGGGAGAGCTGATGAAATGCAGGAGCACTGAGAGGAGCCTTCCTTAAAAGCATCCAAAAGGATGCTAAAAACACGAGAATATTTCTCTTTGAGTAGGGCTGAAGATAGCTATTTTTACTGGAGTACCTATTAGTCCTCATGGGAGTCCAGGCTATCCCGGCTGCCCTGACACAGAGGCAGATTTTCCTTGATGCCAAGTTGCAGCTCGGTGTGGCACCTGCTGTTCTAGATGAACAACATAAAGAAGCTGACAATAATGTCTGCTCGCTAAATTATCTAACCAAGGGCTTGAATGTGAAACATTTTGAAGAGAGGAAATCTGCTAACTTACTTTTTTCACACTAGTTTAACTCAGTTATTCAACAGGCAAGAAGCTGGCTTAAAAATACACAGAAATAGTCGACTAGCGGCTGATGTAACACACATATGTTTCTTCTTCATCACCCTCTCCTCCCCATGAATGTAATTTCAGTAATTTGTATGCAGTCCCCAGAGCAGTATGCTTTGCTGATAACAGGAGGCAGAAACCAGCTCTGAGTCAAGCAAAATAACTGGTCTGTGAACTTGTGTTGCACAGAAATGCACACTGATTTGTCGCATATTTGCAAGCAAAAAGTCTTCTGATTTGAAGACTATCTTTGTGTATGGAAGCCACTCTTCCCTTACAAAGAAGTTGCTTTTTCTTTTCCAAAGAACAATTTTGCAATGGTTGCAAATTTAAAGCCGTGTAAAGGCCACATCATCTGAATTTTATTTGCCTGGCCTGAGAGTAGCCCCAGAGTAGCCCAGCCTTTTTTGTAAAGGCTAGAATGCACGCTGGCTCACAGTCTGGTTCTGCTTCCCAGCCACTGGATTTTATCATGACCGTCCCAGTGCTTGTAGACACAGCATGCAGTCAGCCTGTCAGGGAGGCTGGACTGCTCTATGCAGAGCTGCAATAGCGTGAACGGCTCTGTTCTTTCTCCCAACTCCTTGCCCCCTAGCCCCAAGCAAATGGGTGAATTTAAATCTTTAAATAGAAATCTGCTGTATCCAGAAATGCAGAAGCACCTGCACCAACCACTGAGGCCAGTGTTCTGTTAAAGAAGCCTTTGATTTTTGGGTGATTCAGGCAGGGAACCGATTTTATTTTTGTTTAGCCTGAGCTTTAAGAGAGCACAGATCTAGTAACTTCCACTGAAGTTAAACTGGCAGTTTAAGTTGTCAGCAAGACCAAGCACTTCATGTTGTTTCAAGTTCAACCCATTAAAAAATGGGCATAGCCAAGTTAAGGGGTTTGTTCTGAAGCGGGCTTTTGGATGTGCATCTTCTATTCCACGCTATCTGAGGAATCGCCATATGCAAATCTTTGAATGCCAAAAGCCTCACTGACTTCAGTAATGCTGAATCAGACCCTCAGTGGGTCCCATGGCGTGCTTAAAATTTGCATTCATATAAGTGTACAAACACTTCAGCATATTAAAATCAATAGATCAGCTCATTGTGGGAGAAGTTTGTTATGAGGTCTACACAGTAAAACATTTAATTTGCAAGTGATAGTTTTCTGACAGCACAGTGTTGTCTGTGGGTGGTCTGTGGAGATCACAGGCTCATTTCTTCTAGCTCTCTCCACCATTGCATGTCATGTCATGTCATGTCATGTCATGTCATGTCATGTCATGTCACGTCACGTCAGAGTTGAGACACAGGTATGCATAAAAGCAAGAGGAGAGCAGGAACACAAGTGCAGGGAGGCAAAGAGAGCCGGGGAAGTAATGTGGCAGAACTTGAGCTTCATCTTTCCACTCAGTAGCTGGTTTTTCATCAAATGAAAGATGCTAATCGTCCTGCTAATTTCTTAAGAGAAATGTAGCAGTAGATAAAATATATATATATATGAATAAGTGGAATATTGAAAATATGCAAAGTACTTGTGGGCAACCTTGACCCCATTTGGAATAAGTTCACAGCAATAGGCATGCTGACTTCACAGCTGGTTTTGCATATCTTATTTGACACTGTGATAAGGATGTAAACAGTGTATATAACCAATAGCATATTGGTCATGGTAGTTGGACTCTTTCACTTCCTTTGGAGTCATGGAACAAAATGCTCATGCCATATAATGTGACAAGGTATCCACAGGTGGCTGAACCTACAAATGAAGTTTTAACAGCTTATACTCTAGTCTTTTTTTTTATTTTCCCCTACAGCTTCCAGATGTATGTTAGGTGCTTCAGAGCAGTTGCAGAAATACAGAACCCTACCCCAAGGAGCTTAGTCTAATTTTTGTTGTGATGCAGTGAGTGAGTGTTAGAGACATTAAGGCCGGATGGGGTGAGGAAGGCAAAGGCTGCTCACAGAAATTACTCAAGTGGTGGCATGTGCACAGTTTCATGACTTACTGTTAAATAACTTCTTTTGTCCCTCTGAATATTTTTGTCCCCTTGTTTTTTTTTTTAAATATATGCTTATTTCCAGAAAATTCAAAAGCAAATCATACACCAACAAAGTGCCCTCACACATCACAGAAATCTTTGTGAAAGAGCAAATCTTTTGTGAAAACCACAGTTCCAACATGAATAACAAAAAGCAGAAGAAAGAAAGGTATCATCATAAATTAGTGAAAAAAATACTTTTTTTTTCAGCAGTGTGGTAAATGTTGTTGTATTTTTCTGGCTGTATTTAAAACTGGTTTTATGCATGTATTTATTTATTTGTATGATTAGCACTTTTATTGATTCAGCAAGTACCAAAATTGTAGTGGGGAATGGGTAGGCTATGAAAAGGATAACGTGGAGAAACTGGTAACAATTATTTAAAATAATTTATTCAATACTTACAATTTTATTTTATCTTAACTCTTTGCAGATTATGTGATCATAGTCTGGAATATTACAAGGAATTATCATTATCATGCTAAAGTTATTCTTATTTCTGCTAGTGTTTAAAATGTAATTAAAGAACACATCACTGACAGAACTCTTAACCTCCACACCTTTGTCTCTCACACAGAAGGTAGAGTCTAGCAGCCTAATAAAAAGGGTTGCAAATCAAAGACAGCTCAGCTCCATTGTCGTCATTATTTGGTGCAAAGCTCAGGTTTTCTCCTTCATGCGTATAAAGTACTGCTGAGGGACTGTACTACTTCATTCTCTGTGGTGCTTTTCAAATATCAGAATCAAGAACATCTCTAGTATTGCAAACATATCTATGCACTAATAATCTGTTTGAATTCACTGTTTTTCCTCTCTTTTCAAAGATTGGGACCACTGTTCTTAGAGATTCTCAATATCTGTGTGTAACTCTTAACTTTAAGTTGACATTTAGTTCGTATTAAAAGATTGGTAAAACTTCCACACACACACCCCCCTTAGTTAAAGTGGGATTTTAATCTTCATTTGTGGCATGGGGATTGACAGGTATTGACCACAGTCCTTTTACCTAGGGGCTGAAGTATAGGATTTTCTATGGAGTGTAGAGCTCAGTGTCTTTTTCCACATAGAGATTAATATGCTCTTGGCTTCCTGAGTCCGCAAACTGCTGACACTGCTACTCTTCGTGGGCTGCCAAACAACAACAGCATGCTGATGGTTCTGCACACTTGAGAAACAAGAAGCCTTTGGGAAACTGGCAAGAATCATACAGACTTGGAGAAATAGTAAATAACAAATAATTTATCCGATAAGTTTAGTTGGTTTTCTCCTACTTAACAGCCTGGAGAGAATGCAGCTTCCCTTCAATGAATGTCACCATATTCACAATTTTATAAGAATTTGATTTTTTTGGTAGCAGTTCTTTGCAATGGTTTGTTATATGACCTTTGTATGGACACCTGTGGCTAGTGTATTACTGTTTGTATTGCAATAACACCTGGGTCCCCATGATGGACCAGATGCCTGTTAACTAGTCCAGTGAATAAATACATGCCAAAAGGACAGTCTTTGTCCTTGGCTCCACCTCTTCCTCTCCCATTCTGTACTTTTCATTTGGAAAAAACTTCCCATGGAAATGTACATTGAATTTGCTAATGGTAATCTCTGACTGACTTGTCAAACATCTCTTAACATATCTTAGTCTTGTTATGCTCAAAATCTTGTTTATGGACAAAGAGGAAATGCATCTTATATAAAGCTAGGAATTTTTTTTTTTTAGTGTAATTGAAATCTTAACCAGCTAATCAAAGAATCATTAATAGGCTAGATCCCATTATTACCAAAGAAAAAGAGGGCTTCTATGCAGAAAATGTTTTAATAATAATAGAGCAGCTAACACTGTTATACAGTCACTTAGTTTCTACCCTCTTTCCTTGATGTTATGCTCACCCTTCCCCTGCTTCTCCAAGTCTTAAGGTTGGTGGCTTCATTCTGCTGGTGGTACCTGTGGTGGCAGCATCTGGAGTCCTTCACTGGAATGAAGGGGATGTTCATGTTAATGGTTTCTTCTTCTTTGCTCTAGGCTCCACTTGGGGACATTTTTATAAGTTTGCTAACATGCATTTCTCCTTCTTTATTGGTCTACAGCTCCATGTTGCATCCAAATTTATTAAATATGGTTCCTTTTATGTATGTTAGATACTTGTTCTTTGTTCTCTTTGTTACACCTAAACCCAGTTTTGTCCTTCTTCAGGTCCACATTTCTTTAACTGACCACTGGTGAGACTTTTTTATAGCTATGGATGTTGTCTTCAGTACCAAGCGTATGCCCCATCTTTTGTAATCCCATGCCTGTACTCTTCTACACCATCTCCTGTGTCTCCACTTCTCAAGTCCTCTGCTATGTTTCCATAGGCCTATATTTCTGCATATTACATCAGTATGTTATAGTCATAAAACTGTTGTGCTTGCATACAAAGATAAGCAAAAGTAACACAAATTAGCTACAGACATCTGGTCAATTAGAAAAAATTGCTGTTATGTCTAAACCAGGTAAAACAAAGTGCAGGGAGGTCAAAAAAAGTGTAGCCTGAGAAGCTAAACTTTTAGCCCAGAGGTCTTGCAAAATCAGTACAAAGCTTATGGCTTTCTATATAGCAATGGCAATACAGTAATAGCCATGGCAATACAGTATTACAGGGCTATATGGTTGCAGTCCTTGTTAATATGTGTGTCATTTAGACTGCCTCCGTGTGTCTTACTGCTTTCATTTTAATGCTAACAAAATGGGCCAAATGGTGGCTTCATTTCAAAATGGTAAAATTTTATTGTCTAGACCCTGGTTAATAGCAAAACACTGCATGTAATGTTAGTAATTAGGGACTGTATTTCATTTACATACTGTGTGAAAAAGCAGACTTCATATGTGTTTGTGCAGCTCCAAGCTCAGAGGCTCCCAATTTGTGTTTAAAGATCTTTGAGGCTTCTATGGGATAAGTTATTGAGGATCTTTCTTTCTTTCTCTTTCTTTCTTCCTTCCTTTCTTCCTTTCTTCCTTCCTTTCTTCCTTCCTTTCTTCCTTTCTTCCTTCCTTTCTTCCTTTCTTCCTTCCTTTCTTCCTTTCTTCCTTTCTTTCTTTCTTCCTTCCTTTCTTCCTTTATTTCTTTCTTTCTTCCTTCCTTTCTTCCTTCCTTTCTTCCTTTCTTCCTTTCTTCCTTTCTTCCTTTCTTCCTTTCTTCCTTTCTTCCTTTCTTCCTTTCTTCCTTTCTTCCTTTCTTCCTTTCTTCCTTTCTTCCTTTCTTCCTTTCTTCCTTTCTTCCTTTCTTCCTTTCTTCCTTTCTTCCTTTCTTCCTTTCTTCCTTTCTTTCTTTCTTCCTTCCTTCCTTTCTTCCTTTCTCTTTCTCTCTTTCTCTCTTTCTTTCTTTCTTTCTTTCTTTCTTTCTTTCTTTCTTT